GGGGACCACAGCTCTTCCATGCTTCCCGGTTTCTGGCAACTTGCATCCAGTGTAGACCGCGTTGTCTGAAATACTTTGAAAACGAGTCGGCCCACCGGGTTTGCGGTCGTCCTAGCGGTCTTGTTTTGTTTCTTGGGAGCCATTCAGTGACTCGGAGGCTCCATCTGTCATCGTCGGCGAAGTAAATGACCAGCCCAACGATGTTTCGATTGTGCCATGTACTGCAGGGGATCTTTCAGGTGTGATCTCTCTCTTAATTCTGAACTTCGTAGGCTCTGTCTCCATTGCTGGATGTCGACTAACTTTTCAGGTAAACATCTTTTAGCCACGTTTGAATATAAGTAGCATATTATGGAGAATAATGCACGTCAGTATTGGGGTTTGATACTACCATGCTGGACATTTAAACTTTTCAACATATTTTATTCAGCGGAAAACGAAAAAATATTTGACAAAAACATGTTTTAAATAATTTCGCTGGAGCGTAGTCACCATACTTCAAGAATGCTTCCCATTTGCTTGGCAGTCGGTCGATTCCACGGGTGAAGAAGTCACGATTCTTGGAGACGATCCACGCTCTAACATCGGCCACCAAGTCATCCAGCTCGTCGTAAATTTTGTTCGTTTGCCAGTTTTTCAACGACTGATTGAATTGGTAGTCTGTAGGAGCTTCGTCCGTGAATGTTATGTGCCGAATATGAAGATGATTTTCGATAAGCGTTTCGGTTAATGAAAGGAAGAATATTTCCATTGGAAAACAATAAACAAAACACCGATTATCAAAAAAAAAAGAAGGCGCAAGAAATTCCGCAATAATTATGCATCAACCCCAATAATTCTTGACCGAGTCTCGCAAAGATGCGGCAGTTTGTGTTCGAGCATCCTTCATAATTCAGCTAATTTTGAGTGGAAGCCTAGGTATTTTGTTGCAGGGAGGAGAACTTGCATACATTCATATATGCTCGAATGGATGAGTACTGATGTATGTCGATGGCAGTTGCGTGCGACACTATTCGAGACAGGGTGCATATTCAAATTTGAAGAGAGAAGGGTCCCGCTCTCCGGGCTCACGGTCTGCCAAGAAAGATGTGGCGGGTGTATCTTAGTGGTATCGAATCAAATACTATAGAAACATCCACGATGTGAGGGTGATAGTGAAACGATGTAGTGAACATTTGACATCTCCGCACCACGTAGTTAATCCTGTGACCCCGCGTCCTCTTATTCTACCCATTTCAAAATTGACTCGCCCTCCCTAGGTGGTTTTTGAAAAATTTATAAAAATTACAAACATGTGGGGAGACTTGCAAAGTTTTGGAAAGCGGACAGACAAGCAAACCTTGCTTTGTATATTATTATGATATTATGATAGGGTGACTCATGCTCTATCCAACACTCATTTTCTCCTGGTCTCCGGGCTGCTCTGAAACCGAATCAGGCAATTTTTTCGCCGAAATTTTCAATTTGGACGCATGCCGCTGCCTACTGTGGGCGGAGTTTCTCATGACCAACACTTCCCCTTATAGAGCGGCTCATTACTTCTACAATACTAAAACTTACCCGCCTCTTAAGGATTTTTGAAGGAAGGATGAGAGTAAAAGAGACAAACAAACTCTGGTTTTCGTCCACGTTATGTTTGAGTCTTTTCAAATGCTCGGTAAATGGCATGGAAGGGCGCAATTTCTGCCGACGATTTTGATTCGTAACATTAATGGGTTCGTGCGTGTATAGCATACATTGGCAAGTAGTGTAAATTTAGGACATCCACCGGTCCTTATCAAAAGTACGCTCGAAATGAGTCGTTCACTTATTATCTTATCCGTAGTGTTCGATAGCCCAAAGAACTGCTCTCTAGTACTACGGATAAGATAGCAATGGAGTGGCCCCCCGAACTGGAGTTTCACCGATGTAAAGTTTAAATTCTTAGTATGAATCAGCACATCAGTGTGCATGTGGTGCTATTTGCTCTTATCATCGTGCATGTATTCCGTTAAACATCCTTTGAGAATTCTTACCTTCGATCCAAAAAATTTGTGTGGGTGCTTAAAAATGTTATGTAAGAGCAAAACACCTACTACAAAGGTAAGCTCGGCATTGGGAAAATTGGACGTGGTGCGTTTTGACGCGCTTCCAACAGGATTTCATCTGTGGCTGGAGCCGCCTTTGCTAGGGCTGCCTCTGCCTGGATGTAGGTCGCTAAGACAGAATGCGACTTTCCTGCTTTTCGCAGCGCGAAGCTTTTCACTGTGGGAAACGTAGATCTACCAAGTTCAGGGTGGAACTGGGTTTTCGGTAGCAAAAGATACTTCGTGCTGCGGAAAGCTAAAGGCTACCTGTCCTAGCGACACAACCCTCTCTGCCTCGGTTTTGTATAAGCAGGCCCTGCAGCCCTCAGGAGAAGGGCAGAGCAAAGTGCAGTCGATGATGTCAAAGATTTTTGAGTCTCGCGGAAATCACTGAGCGGACAAGGACCTTTTGTGAAGGGAGGGTGCTCTTTTGCGCTGCACAATATTGCACTCCCATTTCCAGGAAGCCTTTGACACATTGCGTACCGAGCCTGCGAAGAGCCTTGAGTTTTTGCGGTTGCGAGCCCGCGCGGTCTTTGCGCATCGTGCGCTACATGGTGGCGCACGCGGCTACGGGGAGACATTTCCAGTATTCCTTTTGAGGGTACTTTTCTCTTTGTTGTACTTGTAATCGGGTTGAACCACAATTTTATGAGAACTGCGTCATATTTTTGCCTTGCTTGGCTTGTCATGAACGTTTTAAGAGTTAATTACACAAGAGCGATAGTGAAGGATTCAAAAATTTGTTCCGACTACCTTCTTGGGAGAAACAGCGATTGCAAACTAGACAGAACCATTGCCAGCAGTCTGCTTTATCACGTTTATTGAACAGCAGGGATGAGTACATATAATTGCAGAATATTTGTACATTCATCCACCCTTCGCAGGATTCCTAGGGATGTGGATGCACTACACCCGTACATTATCGATTTCAATACCAGAGTTAGGCGAGCGCCGGTAGGATTTCAGATTAAGGGGATCCTTCACGGAAAAATCATGATTTTATTTCAACGATAAATCACTGGCTTGAGACTCATTATTCCGCTTGGTTCTTGGAGTGCCTTCACTAGAAACTCTTTCTGGCCTTCTGCTTCATTGCATTCACATCTTCACACTTCTACTCCATCCTATTCTATCGATCGATTTGTCTCTACTCTCCGAAATCGCGCGCTTTAACCCGATTCTTTCATTGCGTCGCCTGATACGTAGCCGGCCAAAGGCCAACTTCTTTCCATGCCTCGCCTTTGGCTCCGCCCGAATTACCTTCGATTGACCATATAATGCAGTTTTATACGTTTGTTTCTCTTCGATGTAATCACAACTCGATTACTTCATGTCAAGCGAGAATGCAAGCATTTTCCGTGAAGGATTCCTTCAAGTTTATTCCTAGTGCTCTATACCATAAGACTTCAAGAATTCACCTCCGAAAAAACATCGTTGAACGTTGTTAATATGTTGCTTCATTTATCGTTGTTTCCAGACTGCCTGGAATGCGTTCAAATGAATGAATAAATAAATAAATAGCTGGAAAAGCAGTCCGAAACTCTTCCCGCGGTTATTTTGCTGCACATCTTGAAGGTTTGGATGAAACACACTATTGCGACTCAGTTATTGCGGCTAGATTGCGACCTTTGCTGAGCTTGCTTGGAAGAATGGGTTCATTGAAAAGCTCAAAGTAAATTAGTTAACAACCTAGGCTCTTATAAGAATATCATTTGCAAAATTAACTATCTATCTGGAAACGTCCCACTCGGATATGTTGTTCTCCTAGTGAGAAACATATGTCTGCGAAAATGTGGAATCAAGAAACGACAACTATGAAGAAAAATAACGAAAGTCGTGCGCCACCATGTGGCGCATGCGGCCACACAGGGCAGGAAGGTCGTGCGCCGCATGGCTGCGCACGCGGTAAATTAGCGTGCTTCTCAATGCGGGTAACCGCGCAGTGCCCATTTAGGAGCGGCATGGTCCTTCTCAGCTCCTGAGTCACTTTTTTTGTAAAAATGTCGAATCTATCTTACCATGTCGCATCATCACTACTTTTTCAAAATACAAACTCGTGCCTACACCTTTTTCCGTAAGCTACTCTTAACGTTGTTGCTGAGTTTGTTCTTTTCATGAATTCGGTGTTAAGAGAGAAGTATATTTGTTAATGTTAACGTTTACGTTTATGATTATGAGAGATTGATTTCAGCAGCCGTACGCGCAGTGATCATCGCACAAGCAATGGCACAGGTTCGGACATGGGTCGTAGAGTGTCAGGCGTGGGTGGAGGACATCGCGGTGCGGGCATGATATTTTTTCGAGTCTGAGCTGATGAACGCATTGCCTGAGAAGAAATTCTCTGGGCGCTGCCGTCTTTTTTTGGCAGTCTCCCTAATAAACTAAAGGAGGTTGAGCTCAAAGAGTTTTTCTCACCACACGGCGACATATCGGGGTGTTTATTGGCTCTGCTACTCCAACATCTGGCTTTGGTGGGGGCTTTGACTTAAGAAATAAGTGGAGGGAAGAAGTCGAGCACTGAGCTGGTGCGGCAGCCTCCACATCTTCGGTTTTCACACTATTTAATCAAGTCCGCATCATTTGTGCGAGAAGACATGCTTTTTCGTCGCCAGTGCGTGAAAGACCGTCAAGTGCGATGAATCACATTAACTATATTCTTAATTGAGAATGAACATTAGCGGAGAGGAGGAGGGGAGAGAAAAGCTCACCGGTGGCGCTGACGCGAGCGCGTGCTGGTGACGCCAAAATGGCATAGCAGCAGCTGCATACATTTCCCCAGCAACGACTCGCAACTATGTACTGTACTCATCCTCTGTGACTTTTCTTATCAATCTCACCGATCATGCAGAGAATTCAACCAATGTTTTCTGTACAAAACTTGAGAAACAATCTGATAAGTGCTGACACAACGTTATGATTCCTTTATTGGTGTTATGTATGTATACTCACAATTGTCATGCTTCCTTCTTGCCGTTCTTCGTTGGCTTCTTGGCATCTTAACAAATGATTCTTGGCATGTAGTACAAATGAGCATCCTAGATCTCAACCGTTACCCTTAGATGACTTCTTTTCATGCACCACACCACAATCCAAGAAAGAGTTCACCGAACCACGGAACGTTCGCCATAATGTTATATCTTCAATGCAAACAGCGCCGCCTCCACGCTTGAATTGTGACTCCTGCAGCAAAAAGCTAGTTCATTCGCAAATTGGGTAGCTAATAATGGATGAACAGCGTCCTGCCTCGAACTAATTAGATACCTGTCTGTTAACGTCCCCTATACATACAGCTGGTACAGACTCGCTCATGGACACACCCCACTTTGAATGATCCTTGGAACTGGCATACTCTTTGTCCAACACCTTCACAGAAGTGACGTCGTAAACCTAAAAGAACCCGCTCAAAGCATACGTATGACCGATAAGCAGGACATTTGAAAAGTTCACGTTTTCCCCATCATCGCACTGCGTGCCGACATCTTTAGCAGCGCCGTTCCTCCAGGTTCTCGACTGCCATAGGGGTTCTGAGGTACGGAGCAATGAAGTCGTGCCATAAATCTATAATCGCTCATGTATGAATAAAAAACTTCGAATGAGCGGCCCCGTTCTAGGGGTAATTTACCTTTTCCGAATTTCTTATGCTTTGCAAATGCCTTGATTCTCTTGTGACCGCGAGTTTCAAAGTCGTGAGAAGTGGTGAACCGTGTGTCTGATCGTCCGAGAGATTTCCTGTTTACTACATCAACGAGGTACGGCGCTCTGTAACATTGGTATGATTGAAAATGTTCGGCTGTTGTTCCTCATCATGCAATGACTTACATTATTTCGAAGTTTTTAGGCAAGTTGGTAATATATGGCGTCACTTGGGAATATCTCATGTACTGGCTGATATCTTCAAGATAATTGGCATCGAGCGAAAGACAGATAAACGACTGTGCGTATTTTCGAAGCCTGTTTCCGGGTAGTCGTATTTTTCTGAAAAATTTTTGTTAATGTCTAATATGTTATCCTGCGCATATGAATAAGAATAAAGAACTTTGAAGAGGCATTCCTCTACTATTCATGTATGTCTGAAGACAAACTCATTATGATTTGTTGAAGAAGCCTCTCACCAGGAGGAGGGAAGTTGGGAACACTGTGCACCATCCAGAATCCGCTATCAATAGTAAAAACAGCAACACCTTTGCTGTGGCCACGTCCACTGTCTACTTGCTTTCCGGGGCAGTCATCATTGTACGCAATTTTGAAAGTTGTTTTCTAAAAGAATCCTTGAAGATCATTCATTTCTTCCCATTGGAAAAGTCCACCTACATCGTTGCTAGTGTAGAGCTGCTTTAAAGTAGCACCGATTGCCGGAATCTGTACTGTTTATTGGCTGTTTGCTCATAACCCATCCACTTTGAGAAGAGTCATAGTAGACAAAACTTCGTCCTTTTCTTTCGTCAACATTCGCGGGCAGCTTTATTGCGACAAACCTGTAAACGAATTATTAAAGAGAGCGTTTATCTTCACATGTACAAGTACAAGATTAATTTTCGTTCATAGTCGCCCCTAATGAATCCAGCTCCAAACTGACCAATCAACATCTTTCCCATTCATGTTTTTGCAACGAAATTGAGCATCAACTAGGCAAACGATTGCCAGAATCGCTACCAAGATTTTCCGCATTTCTTCTCTGAAAGCCGGTGCTTAAAATAAATCAAGGGAAACACAATTCAAGAGACTTGTTTAAGTTGTGCTAAAGTAAAGAAACCTTTTCGTCGAGTGGCTTCAGAGCGTGTGTAAGGTCTTATATAGCGACCAGCATGATCCACATATCATAGATGTGTACATCATACCATACTGTACTTCTGACGTACATTGCTGTGGATGTCATCAATCCACCCCCACTCGGCAAAAGATTGTTCAGGCAGAGAGCTCCTGAATTTCTCTGTTATTAATGTACATTGAATTGAATCTTAAAAATCCTTAGGGTCAATTAACTGGTTCTCTAGAATAAAAAAGAGTATAATAATTAGGAAAATGTTGCAATGACCTTGGAACTTCACATTTTCCGCTTATCCCGTGCAAAGGTATACCTGTTCATTTGTTTTCGATGGCAACCTGTAATACCTTTTATTGAACCAATATTAATTCACATTGATGCGCTAGTGATATTATGAGTGTAATACACATATATGCACTTCCCTTGATGGGAAAGTCTTCAATGATTTTTTTCAATAGAGCCAAAACAGCCTCAGCTCAGCGCTTATTAAGCATCATAATAACGATGAACTGGAGTGCCCGTGCTAGATTTTTAGGCCCATTCACGTGCCCCTTCCCTTAGCTATCGTTATGACGCCTGTTGTTAGTGATTTTCTCAGAGTCCCAAACAGCGGAAACTGGAACGAGCCTCTTGAATTATCAAAAGCTATTGAAAACCTGAAGTCCTCATTTCATGAGTCGCTTTGGAGCTCTAGCGATCGCCAAAGAAGTGCTCTTTGATCCCTATCCGCTCTTTGCTCATAGCTAGTAACATATGAGTTACAGTTGTCGTTTTGATGATGCAACATGTGAGCTCATACGAAGTTCTCTTTATTTGAACAAACTGCATTCGTCTATGTGACCAGAATCACACGTGGGTGGAGAGAATATAATTGAGATTGAAATGGATAACGTATAAAACATATGATTAAATGTTCAACCGCACTTTAATACCAATGAAGCCGAGAAGGCACCAATCTTGAATGCAGTGTTCCTGGTTGAGGAGGTAAGGTAAGCAATAAGCACAATACAATAGGCAAGCTTTCATATGTACTCCTGTCGATATCACGTCGAATCGTGGAGGTTCTTCATTAGAACCCAACGACCATTTTGTCTTCCCATGCTAACTACGCGCGGTATGAACAAGGTCAGCTTGCGGCGCGATTAGAGGACAATGTTCTCTTCGAAACCAAATATAATGCAGTTCTCAAAATTAGTGAAGATTTACATCACGGTATACCGATTTAAACCGAAAAGGAGTTCTGGCTAGCTGTATTCAGCGACAGTTTGACCTAACATAGGAGATTGGGTGACGATTAACAGCTTTAATAAGTCATCACGTAAGAAGGAAAAAGACTCAAAGATTACATTTATCACCACGACAAATATCAAGTGCAGAAACTCGTTCGCCTCCTCGCGGCTTGATGACTTTCCTACAAAATTGGTGTGAAACTTCGCTTGGACGCTTCAAAGGCACAATGTCTGTTGTGGACAAGAAGCCACTCGAACACACTACTATGTATGAGTGCTTCAGTAAGGTAAGACACCTAGTCTTGAGGCAATAATCCTGCAAAGAGGGATATACCCTGTTAATGGTCTCTTAGCATCTGTCACCTAAAAGTCCCCCACCTAATTCGGCTGGAGTTTCTGCACGGTAAACTGGAGGCAACACCAAACTAGAATCCAAAAAAGTCTGATCCACTGAAGAGGGCATAACAAAAAAAGTTAGAATCATTTTGACGCGACTCACCTGCACTCCACCGTACACGCCTTCCCTCTTCATCTGAAGGCCTGTATATGTACAATAGGTGACGGATTTCAATCTGAAACTAGTTCTGTTTCGTGATAAGAACTAATACATTTTCGAAATTTTTTTGTTGCGTTAGGCCAACATTCGTTTTTAGTAAAATAATCTATAGATTACCATGATTTCACCCCACCCTGTAGAGTGTCTAACGTACCTGTCATTATGCCTACATTCGCAGTAATGAATTACGGTTGATTTTAGTCGGATTCACGTTGTTGGGTTTTATTGAAAGAGGAGGCGACATGGGTGAAGATATGTAGGCAAAACTGAAATAAAACCGACCAAGCTTGGAAGCACCGTTTACCAGAACAACCCTATTAACTTGATGCGGGAATCACAGTGAAGATACAGATCGGTGGACGGCCTACGACCATGGAGCGCTTGTAATATGTGCTGCAATGCCTCGAAGTATTTGGGTTGTGTCATCGTTTCTGGTCGAATTTCGTCGCTTTCCTCCCTCCAAGTTGTATCGCTTCTGAAAATCAATTGGTCAAAAGTAAAACAACTATCATGGCCTTGTGTGCACCCATTTGCCAGGGAAATTGAGAGCTGGCATGATTGAAGCTGGGGTTGCAGGAATGGGAGAGGCCGCTTTTGCGGTTTCCTCGACATTTTTCTGTGGAAATTGTTGCTTAAAGGACGAATTTACGATGGA